TTTTTTGCAGAACCGGGGATTGAACTCAGGCCCTTATGCTTGCCAGGGAAGCACTTATTCTACTGAGCTATCTCCCCAGCCCATTGAGGGTGTCTTTACAAAGGGTGATCAAAATGTATTCCTGCTATCAGTCCGGTTACCCATCTAGAACGCAAACCATTTCCATGTGTTTGAAGCTGAGTTATACTGCCTGGTTCTGCCGAGGAAGTATGATTTACAGGTGAAAAGCACAGGCCCATAGCCTAACTCCCAGGCTTATTGTGTCTAAGATCCTTAGAAAGTTTTGTAGAATTTCCTTAGTGCTTGAACAAGCCTGACAGAATTTTTTGGCTGAAAACAAGTACCCTAAAAAGGTCTGCTTTCTCATTGTGGAGTGAGGTAGGTAGGGGGATGATGAGGGTAGATTCTAGGGTGAGTTAGGGTTAGGGTTAGGGTTGGTCTGTGGAACATCCAGGTGGGGTTGTTACTACTTTGACAGGGATTGAGTGGGGTGGGGCTGATGGGCAGGGAAGTTTCCCTGGGAAAGGGAAGAGTCCACTTGGGAGAGAAAAGGTCCTAATGTCCTAGAGAAAGAGGAGCGTCCAGTAAGGAAAAAGCCATGCTAATGGAGAATAAGAACAAGCCTGAGAGGAAGGAAGAAAATGAGATGAATGAGACCTAAGGGAGAGCTTCTAAAAGGGAGAGTGAGCAACAAGAAGAAATCCTACAGGACATTCAGATAAATGCAGGGCTGATGATTGTCTGTTGGAGCGAGTTCTGTGAAAGTCTGAGTACGACAGTCTCAATGGAGAGGACTGGGCATGGCTCACATCAAAAGGGACAGAAAAGAAGGCAATGAGAGGGTGGAGATAGTGGGCAAGCCCAGTTTGTTCAAAAACAATTTGTGGGCTATCGACTTGCTGAATTTTTTTTCTATTTAGAGAAACTTGGCCACACGTAAAAAGTTAATGAATGGGGCTGGTGAGATGGCTCAGTGGTCTAAAGCACCTACTTAGAACAAGCTTAGCAAA